GGTCAGCTTGAATTCGATCTTGAATAGTTGATTCTTTACTGATTATTTCGACTATTTGATCGACTATACCTGTTTTGTGAGAAATTACGTGAATTTCTCTGGTTCGGTGAGAACCAGAACCTGTGTAGTTTGAATTTCTCGTCCTGGGTAGTTTGAATTCTAAGGTGATTGGTTTTTGGAATCATTTGAATTATTTGGAAGTGGTTTTCCGGAACTTTTATTGCTGTGGATGTTTTTGTTAGGTAAATTTTGATCTTTTATCATGTACTGATGAAATGATTTGTTTGGTTATCTGTACTTTTGTCGTTTACTTTGATTGTCTTGCTGTTTTGTCTACATTCGTCAATGCTGTGTCCGTATCTTCTGCAAAAAGTACACTATTGTTTGGATGATGGTTTACCTTTAAAATTTGAATTTTTCTCATAGATATTTGAAATTCTGTATTGAATTTGATTTATTTGTGTAGTCGTGGTTTGAATATAATTGACATATTGTAGCTTTAGATTTTCTGTTTCTTCTAGTTTCAAAGTGATTTCTGCTTATTCTAATTTATCAACTAGTTTTCTAAAGTCTAAATCTGGTTCTCGAATAGAGGAAGGATGTGATGCTCTCTTTTTGATTGCTATTTTTCGTTATTGAAGTGTAAGAGTCATCATTAAAAATTTCTGTCAACTTTGTATTTTTATAATCATGAGTGTTCAAAGAATATGCTTTTCGGACTAAAGTTTCAATTCTTACTGCGAGTTGTTTAAATGTTTCATTTGGTAGTCTACAAATTTCATTGCACTCTTTGATGTTGTTTGTTTCTTTCAGAGTCAAACAGTTTTTTGAAAATTCTTGTGTGAGCCTTTTTTAATCTGATTTTATATCTATAGGTAAAACTGAGAACCATTTTCGGGCTGTGCCATCAAGTGTGGTTTGGACTAATGCTGTGCGTCAATGTATCCAGTCCTGATGAAGTGGCGTATTTACTGGTTCAGGTTCTATATTCAAAGTTAGATTGGCTGTAACTGCGTTCAGATAATCCTCTACATAGTATTCAGGATCTGTGCCTGTGAAAACCATTAACGGCTTGTTTGATGATATTGATGATCCATCCATTAGGTATGGATTCATAGTCATTTGAAGTGATTCGGCAGCATTTGGCATTTGTGAAAAAGTCGTAAATTGACTTTTTGTTTTTTCATATGGTTTTAACCATTATGGTAGTGGAATTTCTTTATGAATTTGAGTTGGTTGGTAAGATTCTGTGTTTACTGGGTTTTGTCACTAAAAATTTATATTCTGCGACATTAGATTTGTTCTAGTTTATCGTATTTGTTTTTCTCGTGTATATGGTTCAAAATTGTCTGGTTGATCAATTTTGTAAGAACGAGGTCTCTGGTTTTGTTAAAATTGTTGATGATGATGGTTATAACATTCCTCATCATCTGATGGAAAATAATTAGTTGTATATTACGGTGTTTGATGAATAAAATTTTGCTGTGTATTTTGCGTTGTTTTGTTGAAAAAATGGATAATTTTCACTTCGATCTTGTGAATTTTGTGGATAATCATTAAAATTTACTGAGTTTGATGATGGATGTTGCAAATTTTGACTTTGTGAAAACAAGTGGTTTTGAGTATATGTACTAGAAGATTTAGTTGGTTTTGGTCTATTTACATAGTTATAATTATGTTCTGCAGAAATCTTTCTATAGCATGTTCTTTGTTTTTGTGTTGCTTTTATCATTGGTATAAATGTTTGATAATCCATTTGTGTATATTTTGGCACAACGGGGTTTTTTCTGTAGATCGTAATGTTACCTGTGGTAATGTTGGATTTTTCGTCTTGAAATTGTAAAATTTGGATGAATAGATGAGAGACTTGGTTATGCTATAGTTGTTATTGTTTCAACTATTTCTTCACTTGCAAAATGTGATGGGGTTTGGATATCTTGCTGGCTAAGGTTTCTAACTCCGTTTAGGTTTTCTTGTTGTATAAAGGTTGAATTTAAACTATTGTTTCCTGCTCTATCGGGAAAGAATGAATTATAGTTTAAAGGTGTTGCGTCAACTGTGAGTGGATATCTTTTAGCATAATTGGTGTCAAAAAAAATTGTGCTAATTGCTTGGCTTGATATATCTGTTGATATGTTCACAAATGTTACATGAGACCATTCAGGATCCCAAACATACTGATTGTTCTGCTATGACAGTTTCATCATTGTATCTTGTGGTCTAAAAATTTTTCTTGCTTGTGAAATGAGGTCAATTTTATGCGAAAAATAATCAATTATAAATCATGCTAAAATTTTTTGCAAATTGTGTTTAACTTGTTCTGTGAATTCGTTAAATTTCCACGGATTGCGTATAAAAAACGGAAAATGTTGCAATTTCGTGTCTTACAGATGTATGTCGAGATGTTTGGACTAGTGAATCTCTTTGAGATTTTTTTTCTTTCTAATATAGATAAATAACTATAAATAATTGAAAATACATCATTGGTCAATTTGAATTTGCTCTTTCAGAGTTTTGATGTTTTATATTTTTATGTATTCTGTGAATACTTCTGAAAACTCAATATTTGCGCCATCTGATTGAAGTAGATATCTACCATGAAACGTATTTGGTGAACTAATTTCTATGGTATAGATTCCATATTGTTTTGTAATGTTACTAATTCTTTTTAGATAGTAGTCAAGGAGTTGTCTTTTAATTTTTATTTCTGGAAATTCTTTTTTACATAGACTATCTCCTTTTTCAAATAAATTTGAATTAGAATTTGATAAAACTGTACTTGTCCTCTATCTTCAGCTAGTGGGTTTATTAAAAATGGGAGAATGGAGTTTTATTCTTGATTTTCTTCGTTTCGAATCATTTTTGTGTTTTATCACTGCTAGTGTGTAATTTTGAATGTGTTTTATTGGTTGATATCAAATAAATAGGCGTACTGGTTTGTTTGTATATGACTTTTTCATTCTAACTTTTCATTTGATTGAAGCTGGTGACGTGGTTTCTGAGACAGAAAGTATATTTGATCGTTAACTTGATGATTTTTGTTTATTGAGTCTTTCAATTTGTGAAGTTCTTGTATTTCACTGGTTTCTGATTCAGAGATTGCGTTTCTCAGCTTTGAAAATTGTTTTCGAATAATTAGTTTTTGTTTGCTTATAATTTTTTTCCTAAATGTTTGTCGCTTTGTTCTAATGTATCCTATTGTTTATCTGTGTGGTGTGACTACCAGCTCGTATCTTTCGTCGTTAATTATACAATTGTGTAGTATAATTATTTGTTTATTTCCTAAATGGTCTCTTGACATAAGGTTTAGGATGATGGATGCAAGATTGGGATTAGTGATTTCTAATGTCTTAATTTGTTAGGTCTTACAATTTTTTGTGCTTAGCTTAACTGGGGTCATGTAGGGTTGGAGAGAAGAGTATATATCGATTCGTGAGAATGATTTTTACTTTCTCGTGGCTAGTCTAACATATAGATTAATTTACTTAATCTTACTTAAGGTTAGTGATTTGTGATCAAGGGTTGGAGAGTTGTAAATCAATTCACAAGTTTCAGGTATAATTAGAACGCAAGTAGTTCGTTGGGTACTATTTTAAACTTACTAAATTTAAGTATTATCCTGGGGCATTTAAGAGCGGGGGGGGGGTCACGTGAAGGATGAATAACCGAAGTTTTTCACTATCTATTCTTAATTACAATGGTTAATCTTTAAAACTTTTCTGTTAGTCCTAGGTCTCGAGTAAGAGTCGCATAGTGAATTGACGTTTGAGGTCGTTACAACCTTTATAATTTGTGAGGGGGAGAACAAAATTGTTCTATTTGATCCAAGGATAAGCCTTGATGATCAGAATACAAAAATCAAATCAAGTTATTTTACTTCAAAAGAAATTTATTTAAAGATCTAAGGGAAGCCTTGATGATCTGTTGATTTAAATAAGATTTATTTAAGTGAAAACAAGGATAAGCCTCCAAATTTTAGGTAAAAATTTAAGTGAAAGAAAAAGATTAAGTTTTAGTTTTGATGTTGTTAGTATTTTTAAGATTTGCTGTTATGTGTTAGGTGAGGAAGCTGGGATGAAAGAAAAACTTATATAAACTAACAATTTGTTTTTTATACTAACTAGTTTTTGTATTTTTACTTTCAATAAATTTTTTTTCAAGATGTTTTAAATTTACTGCAGATTTTTGGGGAGAACAACTAGAGATGTTTTATCAGTCTTAATTGTACAATAAATAGTTTTAGCGCCTCTAATGATCGTTGAAGACTTTTCTTCAAAGATTTTTTGTCAGTCAATGAAAATTTAGTTTTACTGCTAGTAAAATTATAAAAAAAAATAAAATGTTTGAGTTGGCTTTTGCCGTACGAGCATGAAATCTATTGGTAGATTTCGTTCTTGTCGTATGTCGTCTCTTGTCCGAGGTCTTCTTCCAATACCGGGTAGTTCTCGTAATGCTCGGAATATTGGCTCTGATCTATTGAATTGTACAGACATTTGTACTAAATTTTTGTCATATAACATTTTTTGAAATTGTTAAATTTGTCTAATTCTAATATAATGTTTTGCTTAGTTCTAATCTAATTTGTTTAAGGTCTTATTCGAGACTTTTGGTAGCACCAGATGAGTTATGACCTTGATGGTTATACTCATAGAGTAATTTCAGATAGTGTACACCGTCGCGCTATCTTATTTTCGGCCGGATAGATTCGTGCAATTTCTTAGTCTAATACCGATCTTAATCTTACTCTTATATTTCCTAATCTCAATAGATCTAGAGTATACTGGTTTGTTATGAGTTGGTCTCATGGAGAAAGCAACTAAGTTCTAAGTTAAATTCATATCTCTCTGGTGCTGAAATTACAAGTAATTTCAGCACTTACAAATAAGTGGGTTGTTAGTTTGATGGAGTATGATTAGTTAGTGTTCAATATTTTATAGGGATAAAATATAAGAATATTGACCATTAATAAAATCTAGTTTAGATCTGGTTCCAATTGTGACAATTTTAGATTTTAGATACCACAGCGGATTGTGAAAATTTTATACATCATTTAAGAAAAATTTAAGAAATGACGACCCCTGATATCCCGGAGAAAATACTAGCGTTAGTAACCTTCTATAACTGATTTTCATGAAAAGCTAGTGCAATGATACATTATATTTTCTCAACAGATAACGATTTGGTTTTGAGAGCAGTTTCAGGAGTGAAAGTCTACATTAGTCATTATCCATTTATTGAAATAGGGGACACTCGCAAAATAATTTCCTCCCGAACAAGTTTCCCTTTCCTGAGCATTTTTTCCAGGGTAACTGGCCACTCCCAAAAGACATTTAGGCACTGAGGTACCTGGATACATTTTGAACAGAGGGTTCCCTGCATCTTCCTTGCAAATGTTCCCACCGATATTTACTGGCTTCGTGCATATGTTGTCTCTGGGACACCCTCCTAGGATTCCTGCCTTCCTTTGAACTAGAAGCAACTCCTGAAGATCTTCTGATGGCTTTGAGCTTGAGGAATCTAAGGAGCCCATGCCACAAGTTCCTATGATACTGCAAGGCTCTTCAACTTCTGGACACAAGACAATGTTTTCGAAATAAGGCATCCTGGTTAGCCTATACTTGAGCTTAATCAGTCCAATGTCGAAACGAGTAGAGTTGATTCTCGATCTAAAATAATAAGCTTATTTCGTTATAGATCATTTGAAAACTTTTGGAATGAGAAAGTATTAGTAACCTTCTATAAATTTTTCATAACGGTACTTTGATATCATTGAATCTAAAAACAAATTCCATGCAAAAACAAAAAATCTATATCATGAAAACATTTGCTTATTACAGCGCACTCCCATTCCTGTGGGTTTTAAAAAGCATAGCCGTTTTTTGAAAAAAATTGTTGAAAACTTTTTCGAACTTTTTTTGGGTCGAACAATGAAATTTTCCGAGATATCCGAAATTAACATAAGGACCAGGGGCAACTCTAGGATTTTGTCAAGAGGGGGCGGATTTTCAAAAAAAAAAATTGAAGTTTTTGTCGACCTCTTTTTTCGGCAAATTTTTGAAAACTAGGCAAATTTTTTCATAAAATGTTCCTCACATTTATATGGGGAGCGTCCGTCCCTGCATTCCCTAAATCCGCCTAAGATAAGGTCCTTATTTTAACAGGCTGAAAAAAACAGGCTAAAAATGACAAGTATTTGACCAAAAAAGTGCGTGTTTTTGACGCGCGCTCCCCTCTCAAGTTTAGTTAAATTGAGGGGGAAAACTTTTTTATTGCATTCCAAAACATTTTGAGCATTTTTGATGTTGGTAAGCCAAAAATAAACTAAATTTATATCAAAGTGGGGACGTTTGGAAAAATTTGCTAACCAGAGTTGAGAATGTAAGCTTATTAGGGAAGGAAACCATTTTTGTAGGCAAACATACCTCTGATGCCAAATGATTTTGGCAGTTGATGTTGTTGTTCTCAATTTGTCGTATGTTCTGGTGTATTCAGTGAAGTCGCCAACCTCCACATAAACTCTCTCGGCTGAACAAAAAAAAGATTTTTCAGTTTTTTCTTCAGAAACCTAAAGGTAACCCCCCGTCGTATTCGTTTAAACTATCCAAAAAAGCTATAAAGAAATTGATAATGGACGTGAGTTGAGCATTGTCACCGTTTTGAGAAAACAGGAGTAGCAAAACATTGCTAAATAATCAATTGCAATCAAGAATTAAAAAGAAAGCTCATTTGAATATCAGAGCGAGTCGCTCTATAGTCGAGGGGCGAAGGAAACTTGGGCGGCACTCAGCGTTGTATTTGTAGCTGTTCATTTAGCATGATTGCAATGAACATGCTTGGTTTCGAACCTTATATATCACGGGTGCAAAGAAATTAGGCGGCATTGTCGGGTGTTAGTAGGATTGGTGCTCAGGGCGGATTTAGGGGGGGGTCAGGGGGTGTGGGCGGACGCATCTCTCCTTTCAGGGATTCGACCCCCTGCCGATCCCCCCTTTGTACTATTTTGATATATCCATTTTTGGCGACGGACCCCAAAAACGTTCTAAAAGCGCCTTCGGCGCCAATATATGCTAGTTTTGAGGGGGTAGCGCTCGCCTTTTTTGGCCTGTTTTTTTTCAAAAATTTTTTGGCCCTTCAACTTTTTTTGGCATGTTTTTGGCCTCTTTTTTTGGCCTGTTTTTTTTTCAAAATTTTGCCAGCGGCGTAGAAAATTTGGGCAAAAAAGGGACAAAACAGTGCTTTAGGAGAGCTCGAAAATCAATTTGGTCGACCTAAAAAAAAGTCGACGCTTCACTAAATCCGATAATGACAATATTTTGAAAATAATAGTCGGGTTGTACATAGTGTCATGATGCATGCAGCGTTGATGAGCGTTCTTAATCAACATCCGAAAAGTATGCTTCTTAGTTCAAATGATTATTGGATGCTTCGTTTTGTGTTTCAAAGGTGGGTTTTACTCGAATCAGATTCTTGTCGACAAATGATGTGAAGTTCCATTGTTGGTGTTAGCTTGCTGCTTGTTATGTAGTTGATTGTAGGTATCCTCGAAGGAAGAAAAAAATTGTGGCTTTTTCCATGTCCTCCTTAGTGATCGAACGTTTAGCTTTTTTGAAAACTTCGATGATGAGTAAAACCTGGGCACTGACGCAATCAATTTGATAGCAGTCTGGAAATTGAGAGAAATCGGTCAGTGGAGTGGTCGAGGTATTTCTGTTGTAATGTTACTTTATTCTGAGATAACAACAAAATCCAAAATCAAAAAATTACAAAATCCGATGCTACTAGCCAGACCGTATATCCATCTTTCAGTTCAATTCGCATGATGCGCTGCCTTTTGGATTCTTTTCATCAAGTGTAAATTTCCATGTGCAACTTTTCGAAGCGTTCATATCTCACTGGCGCAGTAAAAATTATATATTACTAGTAATCCAAATATAACAGGTAATGCAAACAGGTAAAACAGGCGGGCTCCGCAGTTCTGTCTGTCCAATGGTGTTTGCAATGTGGCTCCATTCGTATTTCATCCTTAGTGACCTATTGCATTTCATCAGGGTGGCATTTAATGTCAGTCTTGAGATGCTTGATTGGTTCAATGCGGCTTGCCTTGTTTTCCAAAAAGGCTAGTCATACAATTTTCATATACGGAAAAATGCTAATCATACACTTTTCATGCAATTCCATGCGTACAGAAAATTGCAGGAAAGATCTATGATTAGTTTTCCATAAAGCAAAAATAATGATTTTTTACATTCTAATTTCTTCTGGTTTGTTCGTAACCGAACGCAAATGACATAACCCTTGGTTACTCAAACGTAGTACCAAAGGTATAGCCATCTTGCATCAAGAATGCATTGGAAAAAGTTTGAAATGTCTGTACTTCTGCCTCACACAAATAACTTACCGAAAGTAACTAACTTTTGAAATTTGGCAAAAATTTTCAAAGATGATTATTTCTAAAATTTGAGTTTTTAAATTACCAGACATTGATCAAGGGATACAAAAACATGTCATACAACAGAAAGAGGAATTTTAAGCGTTTTTGAAAAAACTTATGAAGAGAAAAGGAAAAAATCCAATATAAGTATATCCAGGACTACGTTATACACACAAAAAATTGATTTTTTGCATGCAAATTTTTTTCAAAAAATGTTTGTTTGAGCGCGAAAATCAATTTGCGATCGAAAAAACCCAGAAAATATCAGGGACATATTCAAAAATACTTCATACTTCGTCGTCATCAAAAAAATGCAAGTCATTCATTTTCCATATATGGAAATTGTATTGTTAGCAATTTTTTTTGACAAAAAGTTTTTGTTTTTTGTTTTTTACGATACACCGAATTTTATGCCAAAACAAGAGAAATGTTTTTTTTTGAAAATTCGACGACACCATTTTAGCAAAATGTTTGAAATTTGTATGATAAGTATTTTTCATAGACTCAGTTTATGGAATTGTATGATTAGCATCTTTGGTCTATGGAGGTCAGCCCGGGTTACCAATAGTAAACACACTTGTGTTTCCTGGTTTATCTGTAGTCCTAAAGCAAAAGTAGCCATGGAGTCTTTTTACGCGTCGAACAAAACAAGGCATTGCATGTTAGTAAATGACAAATAGAGGCTCAACATGTGGGTTAGTCTCACATGAGGAACTAGATAGCATTGATTGATCCATTTGTAGTTTTGTGGATCGAAATCAACAGGAACTACTTCGTACCAGGCCAAGTCGAACTTCAAGAACTTTCAGTTTAATGGAGAACCGTGCTAGGATGCCCAGTGGGTCAAATACCTGGCAAATGTAAAAAGCATTGTTGAAAGCGTCGCCGTAACAGTTGAAATATTTGACTTGGTTTTTGGTTGCATCAAGTAATTAGCCTCAGTTTTGTCCTAGTTAACGCTCAACGCCAATTACCGGATCCACTGAACAATCAGAAGAGTTTTCGCCTCCAGCTCCTCAGTAGATGCCATCACTGGAGTTAAAAATGAACTTAATCGAAATGAATCCCCTCTGTTCAAATGCAAATTTTAGCGCAGACGAGTCCTTTGCTTCATTTTTTGCCCCGAAAGAAGGAATTCGAGTATTCAAGTAGAAACTGTCAAGAAATAGTTGAGCGATGTTGGGCTTGGTTACCCAGTGGTCGGCAGCTGTTCGATGAAAAGTAAAGATGACTAAGGGCTATGATGGCAAGCCAGTATTTTTCACCGAAGACATTTTGCTGCTGCTTCGCCATGATGCCTATTTGCAGTAAAATGCCCTCGGTGTCTACTGAAACGTCGATAACTTTTTCCTGGAAGCGTAGTATAAGATAAAACAATTGTTCGGTAGCTCTGGTCCAGTTTTAAGGACAGAAGATCAAAGAGAATTTTTTATATGTCGAGGCATCGTTGGCTACCCTACGGATTTTACCAAGCTTTTTTGGGCTATTAAAAGGGCAATGCGAAAGATACCAAATTAAATCAATTGTGGATTTTTAAAAGTCATCTAGCTGTGTGCAGCCAGGGGGTTTGCGTAAGAGTTGGGTAGTTTCTGGATCCTTTTTAAACCGTCCGTGAAGTCACCGTAATCGGGTTTTAACTACAAGGTAATTGGGTTGTTTGACCTCGGTTTTTCATAGTATGTTTTTGATGTCATGAGATCCATTAAATTCAATGCTTTGCTTCCGTCTTATTGTCGTTTTTTTTTGAGATTGAAGCAACTTTTTTGTCGCCGTCTTTGCTTCTATTGTCATTTTTTTTGGGATTGAAGCAATTTTCTTGATCCCTTCAGCCTGATCCCTTCACTTCCTTTCACTTTCCATCTTTTCGACAACAATTTTGCGTCTTTTTCCTCAGTTGTGTCAATGAAGTTAGTAATTTAGAATTTGACTCTGTAACTTTATTTTAAATTGCCAGTTAGATCAGAATCATTTTCTATATTGTTCATTTTCTATATTGTTGTGGAAACGATTTCTATATTGTTTTCACCTGTGATTGGTTTTTCATGTCATGAAAAGACCCAATTTGATCTTATGAAGATATCCATTTTTGCTTGAGCGACTTACCGTTTGATTCAAAACTTTTGAAAATTTTGGTCAGTCTTGCAAAAATCTATATAGGAGCATCTTTGAGGTCAAAATACTCGTACGCGATTTCCTTGTCAGTTTTTCCTGAATATTTCAAAAAAAAATTTTTCGGAATGTCTATAAAAAAATTTGTCTGCGGTGCAGAAAATTCGGTTAAAATAGAGCCTTTATAGTAATATGGATGAGCTCGAAAAATCAATTTGAACGACCAGGAAAAAGGTAAACAAAACTTTCAACTATTTTGAAAATCAATCCTACGAGAAAATTTGATTCTGTTTTCATTTATAGCACCGTCTCTTTCTCCTAGATGTTATCAGCCAATAATTGACAGTTTTATGACTGAAGACGATATAATTTTTGTGGTAAAAGATGATTGAGTCTCTAAGCCTATCTAGGGGCAAATATCTAAAGTTGAGATTGCTTAATGTTCAGCTTTTTCGACGGAAACTAAGTGTGATATGCGTTGCGATATCAAATTGAAAACAAGTTGGAATTCAATACTGTATTCTGAATATTGAATTTAGATTTTCTCTTTTCTTTGTTTTCTTATGTACTGAGAGATAGATCATTGTTAAGTACTCTGATCTCTCACTTAGTCTCAGTGTCATCACTTATGTATGACCTTGAGCGTACCATAAAATAATGATTTAACACCAGAGGTTGGCTGTACATACGTATAATAAATACTGCTACTGCAGTAGCGGTATGACACACCCCCCTCGGTGAAAGAAATAAATTATACAACATCAGTAGGATAATTTATTTAAAAGAGTTCAATTTACTCAGTTCTGAAGAAAGTCTTTTAGATGGATTATGTAAATTTCAATTTTCCTCCAGCTCAATTTCCCAACTCGGGTTCCAATCTACTCCTTCATCTAAAGTAGCATATCCGAATTTTCGCATAAATAAATGTCTTTCGAGTCGTCGCACTTTTGACTCCAAGGGTCTGTCGTCCCGATCTTTGAAATCT